AACAGCTGGGAAATTTGTTGTCGCTGTGCAGAGAAATTGCTGACGCACGCGATATTTTACAAAAATTCGAAAATTTGAAAAAAACAACACGAGTGAAATTTCAACTGATGATTTTGCATTTTTAAGACGGCGATCAAGGAAATTAAATTGTTGGAAAAACTTCACTAACATCTCAAGTGTGGAAAGCATCTACATTACCAGAAATTTAATTGTGGATTGATTCAAAATTCAGGCGATAAAGTTACATAGCTAGGAGTTGGCTTTTGTGCTCTTCGAATGTCCATTTTCATTCGCGGATTACCACAATTTGTTGGTCTCATGGGTGCCAAAATCGACATAAACGTAAACCGGTAACCAAGAGCTATAAAACAAATAGCTTTTCAAAACGATAAACTTTATTCAGTCAAAAGGATGAGGGTAAATAAACATGCTACTGCGTGATAGTGATTTCGAAGCAACTTTGTCACATATATTTTAAAAAGTGTGATAATGAATCAAATTTTGCTTTTTGCAATCCCAAAAAGGTATGAAAATTATTTAAATATTTAAGGTTTCCGTGTTTCTAAAGTATTTTTTTGAGAAAAGTAAAAATGTTCCCGATAAAAAAGCATAGTTTCTGCAGAAAACTGTTTTCTGATAGAGAAGGTCCTGGGGGAGGGGGTGTAGAAGCGTGCGCGGATAGCAAAAAACCTTGACGTTTCCTCCAAAAAATTAATACCAAATTTTGTTTTGCCTTTGTTTGATATGTAATTTAAACAAGTTTTTTTACATCTAAAAATTGCCCCTAGTGGTCAAAACTTGGATTATGTTCGCAGTATTGGCCATTTGTTTACTTTTGGGGATCAAAGTTTGAGGTCCAATTATTTTTAAAGTTTACAAACTACCCAGCTAATTCTTGGCTGTTGTTTGCAGCCTTGTATGCTGATTAAAATTTAGTTTAGTCCACAATAGTAGATCCTTTCAATGAAGGGAAATTCAAAATAGTATATTTGATTACTTTTACAGCACAGTCATTACATAGGTAGGGTGCAATACCAGGCCAAATTGCAAAAAAATTTACCGATTCCTCCAAATTTAAAATCATATTTTTTTGCTCCCAAGGCACATAGGAAACATAATTTAACAATGAATTTTGCTGAAAAATTGCCCCTTTGCGTCTAATTTCGCTTTGAAATGCGTGCGTTTACTGCTCTTGTATGAGATAAGAGTTCGAAAACATTCGAACTACTGTAAAATGTAATGAAATCGACAACTTGACCTTGCCCTTGAGACCTTGTACTGCCTCAGCACTGAAATGTTTTTTGACAACGATAATTTACCAGTGTTTCTTGAATATTTTCCTTGTTTAACTAGTAGAACCGAACGTACAAGTGCATCAGAAGACTAAGCGAGAGTTTTGTGTAGAAATGCTCTGTTTACGGGAAGTTATTTTGCATTCGCAAGCGTCAACAAAAGCCGGCATTTTCACAGTTTGATTATCATGTCGATAGATAAAAGCTTTGAAAATTCAATTGAAAACATTTTAAACCACCCGTATTTCTATAGAATATATGTTAGTGGTATTAACATTGAACTTCTTTCTGTTTGAACCCAAATTCGTACTTGTTTTGCGTTTTACAAGGCTGTCAAGCTCGCGACGATTGGCAGGCATGACTGCAGATTTAGCGTGTCAAATGTCTTCTTGTTTGTGTCAAGTTTATAATATTCTATTGCTGTTCAAACACAAACGAGATATTTTATGCACTGGAAACGTAGAGTACATTTTACTTTGTCTTTGTCTCGAGCAAAAAAATTATAAAGATTAAACAGACATTCAAAAATATTATAATATACAACAACCACGAACATCTCGTTATTTCTTCGGGGAAATCTTCAAGTTTCAATGGAAATCTGGCGCATGCGCAACAAATTTCCCAGCTGCTGTTAATGAGATAAAAAATTATCCAAGATGGCTGACATCTCATTACTTCAAGTGAAAATATTTTAAGAGCTAAGCAAGATATGAAAAATCGGTGAAAGAAGTTAATACATAGTTTCAAAAGTTCTTTTAGATGAGAAAATAAGAACTTATGTTGCCATTTCCCTTTAACACACGATAACATGTCAAAGTTGGATTACCTCGTTTTATACACGCTGTATATTGGAATGAACGAACGGTATACATAATAGTGTACACAATTTTACCATTTGGAAAATTATAAAAGGAAAAATTTCTTTTATTGCTGGTAAAACAACGAGGAATACAACACGTAAAACCGCCACTTCTTTTTCTCGTACTGCATGGTCGATGAAAGCGGACTGTTGCTGTTACTTTCAGAACTATCAAGAGTTCTGAAAAGAACTAGGGTCTTCATTGGCTTGAACAGTCTCTGCATGCAAGACGACAAAGAACAGCAGCACACTCGCATTCGACAGTAGGCATGTTGGATTGCTTTGAATTTTTCCGCCGTGGGTATTAAGACCAGCATTCCCTGCGCGCATCACGCCTGTGACGTCATTATGCATAAGGTTTATTTTTGCTGTTGTGAAGATCTCCCCGACCTTGATGGTTTTCTGTGAAAAATTATGGAACAACTGCATGCATATCTAATTGTTTCCTATTTTTATCCAGGTTTCACTTCCATAAAATGATTTGTCTTGGTTTTCACATTTTATTTGGGCTCAGTTTTGTGTTGTTTTCATGTGAAGGTATAAGACTTTATATTTTCATTTTTACAAATTTTATTTCCCCGTGGTTTTATATCTCACTCTCTGCTTTACTAAAGGTCCGTTTACACTTGCAATTTTGCCGCGGTTTTAGGTGCGATTTTCTTCTCACCTGATGTATGTGAACGAGTGGATGAGTTAAGAATGTTTAGACAAGGGTACATATACTCAGAACATTCATAAATTATTTACTCGTTCACATCCATCAGAAGAAGAAAATCGCCATAGAAATCGCAGCAAAAATTTCAAGTATATAAACGGGCCTTTATATGAGAAACACTCAAAAACTAAACTTGTATTTCCACACGCCCATGTATTATCTCCTTTATTTATCTAAGTTGAGTGAGTTGTCTTTCCCCATCCCCCTTCGTAACAATACATGATTGATGTTCAGACTCGGTTGAGAAGGTTTATATCAGTTAACCGAAAAAATCCAGGTGGTTCTTTTTCAAAATCGGTGTATCATTGTGCCTGAAGGATCGTAGGAGTGTAAAATGATAAAGATATACTTCTGAATGCACATCACTTACGAAGGAAAGCCACTTGTTAACCTTGGAAGGGTAATAATTACTTTGCAAATTTTTTTTGATTATCGATTTCAGTTATTTTTTTATCTTCTTCAGCTTCGGTTAAATTCTTTCCGGCTTCCTCCCCCAAGAAATAACTTGTGTCGTTGCAGTGACTTTTAAACAGTAGAGAAAACTTTTTGCTGTGTAGGGCAAGTCTATCCACCATCTAATCAGAGCATGATAGTTGTTTTACCTGGATCAACTGCCAGACTAAAGTGGTCATTTGTGGGCAATCCTGCTCGAGCATCTCTACTTTGGTATTTCACAAGAAGAGGTGGTTCAAAGGCGGAAGAGCTTGCTGTAAAATTTCGCACCATGGACGTTTTAATTGCTAACAGCAGCCTGCCTGGGGTTGCAATAGAAACACCAGCAACGTTGGTTCTAAAGAATGTTGATGAACGTTATAATGGAAAATACTACTTTAATGTTCTAGTATCTGGTGGAGGTGGTGAGGTTGCAGTTGAGGTTTTTGTTTTAGGTACGTTTTGTTGAAGTACAGTAGGTAACATTTCAGATATGCTTATAATTCTAGGTTGCATGGACATGGCAAAGGTGGTCAAGGCAACATGTACGGTAGAAATCTTTACCATTATAATTTTAATTAGTTCGTAAAGGGAATGAAACACTAAGGCAACATCTGCAGTGGAAATGTTTACTATTATATTGAGCTACACTTTCGCCCTACATAGTGACTTTCCAAAATAAACTCTTTTGTGGTTTCATTACATTTCAGAGAAACCAACTGTGACATTCAATTGTTCCAGGCCCATCATAGTAAATGAAGGTGATGATGTCAAGTGTCAATGTAGAGGTGAAGGTGGAAATCCTCCTGCAGACGTTACATGGTATAAAGGTAGCAACAAAATTGGTGGAACAGGAAGAGAAGAACAATCATTAACTTTCAGTAACGTTGATAAAACAGCCAGTGGAACATATAAATGTGTAGCCAAGAGCCATAATGTAACGGATGAAAAATCAATCGAAGTAATTGTTTATTGTAAGTAGATAATTGCATGCATGATATTAACTTCATATTAACAAAACTTCAAAGAGCAATACATGTAAATTATTTCAAAATTCTTGTTAGAATATATTTCAAATGATAGGAGTATGCACCTTATAATGCCGAAAATGCTTAATTATACCTATATCAGCACTGAAATCCTTTGGCTACATGCATATTGGCTGAAAGCGTAAACAATTCGGCTATCTCAGTATTTACAATGAATAAAGGCATGCAAAGCTTCCTATCAGCGAGCCCCAGATCCTCATCAGTGCAAATAAAAATTTTATCATTTAGTTATAAAGAGTTTGTGTTTTTATCATAGACGCAGTTCCACCTACAGTGATACGCCTTACGTCGACTCCGGAAAATGTCGTATTTGGTGAATCAGTTGTGATAACGTGTGAAGCTATAGCCGTGCCTTTACCAAGTTATACTATAATCCATAACGACACTGAAGTCGTCAGTACTCACAAGACATATATAATAACTGTTCTTGAATATAGTCATGCTGGGTCATATAAATGTATTGCAACAAGCGTACTTGGAAATAGTTCAAAGGAATTCAGTTTGTCTGTCGGAGGTAACTATAACATATACAATCTTTTCTATGATTGAATTATCTTTTAAAAAGTAATATACTGTAGTCTATCAAGCTGAAAATGTACTAGGCAAAAAGGGCAGATTCTTTCTTAACAATCTGATTTCATTTACAGTAACACGAACAACGAATGCTCCAACTACAAAAGATTTCGGACCAGGTAAGGTGGTTTTCTTTTCCTAACATGGTTCAGAAAGTATGATGTTTGTTTTCTTTTTAACTGACAAGAAACAAATTGTTTAGAAAATTGGTAAGTCCATATCGGTAACTGTATTCTTCTTAATTTTCAGGAAAAGCAGCTTCAGAAGAATGTAATTGCAGTGGAACTGTATGGTATATGGTTGTGGTAATATTGGTGTCTGGGATTATCATTGGAATTCTTTTTTCCTACATTGTCTCATGTTCTCGTCGTAAATTTAGAAGCAGGAAACCGAATTCAAACCCTGAACCAAAGACAACTGAAGTTGACACAACTTATCAAGAGCTTGATCTTTCAAAAATGAACACGGAAGATAATTATCAATCGTTGAGAAACAGAGGTCCTCAATCAAATCCCGAACCAAAGACAACTGAAGTTGACACAACTTATCAAGAGCTTGATCTTTCAAAAATGAACACAAAAGACAATTATCAATCATTGAGAGTTAATGCTGGAAATAATGAGGAGGAGTCAACTTATACTGAATTAAACCAAATCAGAGATGTGGAGGATAACTACCAATCTCTAACTTGAACCTGCAATAAATTATATTATGTCGTATATAGACTAAAACTCGATACCGAGGCCATTCGCGGGCATATAGAGTTTTAGTCTATTTTGTTCTCTCGAGGTTTTTATTGATGGCCATGACTATAGATTCTTTTGTGAAACAAATTTAGGGCTAAAGGGACTTTATTGATTTTCAAAGTGCGCAGTGCGTCTGCTTCATCTTGAAGGATATTGGCTCCCTGCTATACAGTTTGAAAAAATTAACAAGTCGGTCGAGCAAATTTTTAGCCAATTTTTTTGGCTGCTCTAACTGTGCTTATGGATACTGGATAGTCTATACTAGAATGTGTAATTGCATATATTGCACATTGTGCAATAATTACCAACTTATTGTCGCATGATAACTATGATTTTCAAAGAATACTGAAACTGGTACTTTGTTTTTACTTTGCGCAAAGTTTTCACAGGTAGCATTGGTTGTACCCCACCGGTACATTCCGATTAGTAACAAAAACAAAAGAATTCTGACGAATTTACAATTTCATATGTCTGATGGGTAATTTGATCATTTCAATTCTGTTTGAATACAATATTCATCCAGATTAATATTCATCCAGCAGTAAATCCTTTTTATTAATCAATCTTCGTTGTAAAAAATGTACATTTTATTATACAGTATTATTAAATGAAAAAGGTTCAAACTGAGCTTTTCTTCACACTGATCATTCTATTACTTATTTATATAAACAATCCTTGCATGTGGACTACAGTTAGGGTGTCAAAAACTGTAATAGTTTAAGGATATTTTCATATCAATAAAGATCAGATCTGTATAACCTTTTGTATTATTCGAACAAAAATGTCCAAATACGATTAAAAATTTCCAGTCAAAATCCCAGTTTCCCCCAAATTTTCCCTTTGTCTTTGTTTTTAGACACTCTTCAACCAAACAATTCCAAAGAGCAATTATCAATTGCGCAACATAGCAACGAACCCCAACTCTTACAAGAAGGAAACCAGCCTCAAAAACATCCCTTATGAAAGAAATTCCAATTCTTTTGCTGACAAGAAATCATGGTCTTGGTATTTTTTGTCAACTGACACATGCAATTCATAGTAAAATTAGAGAGTACTCAAAACGTGTATTATTACACATTGTAGTTTGTAAAAGCAATTTGATTGGCTAAGAGCTTACAGTTAAATCACGCAACCTACACAAAATTCAGCGATCTGCTAGCAGATAACTGAGTTATCTGCAAATGAGCTAGCCTACGATAATTAGCAAGCGGTATCTATTTAACCCAAAAAAATGTATAATAGAATTCGTATAATAATTAACAATTATTGAATTCGGTTTTTGCTTTTTACAAAATTATCAAGGTCTCGGTAAGCGTTATTAGCCTCGCCTTCGACTCTGCTGATAACGCTTACCTCGACCTTGATAATTCCGCATATCACAAAAACCTCATCCAAAAATTGTTAATTATTATACGAATTCAGTTCGCGTTTTAGTGGAGAAAACCAAAGCAAACCTTTTGTAAATTTTTCATTGAATTTCACATCCAGATTCAACTAAAATTTGGTCAATTTAACCTTGGGCTATGGCTATATTGATTCCACAAATTTTCGGAACCATTTGTGTAATAGTTTTTGAGTTATTCAGTTGCGACACACGACACAAGCACCACACAAACATGCACACAAGCAAATGAAAACGTCCCTTCCTGGCGGAGGTAGAAAAAGTTTGAGCTTAAATAAATTCATCATAGATTTCAAGAATCTATCCACAGGCGGCGGCATGTCTTATTTGCATATTAAGCTTCAATATCAGAGTCGAAGGCTCGAAGCCGGAAGAACTTAAGGTTGCATCCTGATGTTTCGCGCTCCGGAATAAATTACTCCTTGATCTTTATATCAATCACAACCCTTTTCTTAACCCTGTTGTTACAAACAGCACGCCAAATATAGGCTATACCGTTTGGTGGCCAATTTTACAGGAATACCAACCTATACAGACTTTAAAAACTTATACACAGACTGTAGGTATAGTGTGTCACATATTTGCATATCAAACTTCAAGTAGTATCGAAACCGGAAGATTGAAGAACTTTACACCATCCAAACAACACACCTATAGCATAGCATTTGGTGGCCAATTTTACAGGAATGCTACTTTCAGCAGGTTAGGTGTGTATATAATATTTGTTATAATAGTGTTTGTCTATTAGAGTTCATGTAATTATACGAGCCAGGTATAATATCAGATATATTTACACCTATACTCTTGTTTAAGTTAATAAATGTAATCCCTAACACTCCATGAGTCCATAGTGTCTTATCTGGAGTGATTATGAAGAGTCGAAACATGTCACGAATGAAATTTGTTCAGGAATCACATTCGTTTGCTTAATCAGAGTAGCGAAACTTTTTGCAGCATATATTGATGTCGTTTGTATCTTGTAAGATACGTTCACATTAATGTATACATGTCAAGCTTTAATTTTACATAAATTAATTGTTTAAATATATATGAAGTATTTGTGTATCCTTATTCGGTGCATGGGCCTGAATATTAGTGCTGCTAACAAAATGGTTGGTACGTTAAATCATGCTTACACTCAGGCCTGTTTGAAACGTCGAACGTACGTTTCATGCACCGAACCCGCATGTCTGAACCCAATGACAATGTAAGTTAGTTGTAACAAAGAATTGTGGTTATGCGGTTCGTCACATGGAAATTTCGACATCTGAAACAGCTAGGCTTGTGATCACAGTGGCTGAGCAAATTGTTTTGACCCAAAGGGTTCTTTGTCTTTGCCAGAGAGTACCATATTGTAAACTAGTTTTTATAGAGTAGGTCCCTTCCCACCTCATCTGAGCTAGCATAGTGTCGACTTCATTCTTTGATTTCTTTTGAATTTTATTCTTATGTATATTGTTTTGATCAGGGACGTAGCGACCGGGGTGTGTGGGGTGTAACCCCCCACCCCCACCCCAGCTGTGAAACACAGGTAAAAATCAGATAAAATTCAAGTTAAAATTTTGAGATTTTCAGGTGGAATTTGTCATTATTTTTGTGAAATGATAACCATTTTTTTGTAAAATACACTGAGTCAATTCAGATCCAATCGTTTGCGAATTTGCTTTAGTAAACGCCGCAGAAATGCTGTCCTGGAGCTTCAAAAATGTAAAAATTTTCCCCAGATCCCCCTCTTCTTCAGGAACTTAGTATGACAGTGGAAATCAATCGAAAATATTCTCTATTATAATTAATACATTTCAGGTAATTTTTTTAACATTGAAGTTCAAATTTCAGGTAAAATCCTCCGACAGCCCCCCCCCCCAACTTCAGATGCGTCGCTACGTCCCTGGTTTTGATGTTTATGTCAAGGAGGCTACTATATATGCGTGTAATGCCACGCTCAAGATTTTTGCAACATCTGTGAAGACCTTCCCAAACTTGATGGTCTTCTATATAAATATAGTCGTATAGAATCTTTCATTCCAAAAGAAAAAGCAATATCTCTTAATTGTATTACTTTTTATGCAGGTTTAACTTCCATAAAATGACTGGGTTTCGCTTTCTTATTTTATTTGGTCTCAGTTGCATGTTGTTTCCATGTGAAGGTGAGACTTTATATTCACATTTTTACAACTTTTATTTCCCTTTGTTGTTATAGCGTGATTAATCCACACATATTTGATTACTCAACCTTTAAAAAATGAGATATTAATTTTTTTGTAATAGGACAAGTTAAACCACCATCTAATGGGACCAAGTTGATATTTTACCTGGATCAACCGTGAAAATAGATTGGTCATATGTTGGTGATATATCTAAAGTGAATCTTCGAGTTTGGTATTTCAAAACTAGTGAGAGTTCACAACTAGGAGAACTTACAGTATTATTTTTAGATCGTGACCCCGAACCAAAAAACACCACCTTAATACCTAGGTTTGAAATAGAAAAGCCAGCAACATTGGTTTTAAAGATGGAATATACATTTTCAGCCTTCTAAATCAATATCCTTTGCAGTCATATTTATCAGAAGTTGTTGTTATTATTGCAAGTACGTTTTGGTAAAGTATAATTTTTGATTTTTCAAAGTTTGTTTTACTACTTTCATTGGTTCCGGAGAGTTGCATGCATGAGTATAGTTTGGCATGGCCAAACAACATCTATACAAATATCTTAATTTCGAAAATATTCTATCTGGCCGCGAGCAATCATCTTGTGCATGCTGCAGCCTTGACTAAAATAGTTTAATTTTAGAATTTCCAAATATTGTATGGTTTATATGACTTTGTGCCAGCGTAGATAGTGGTAATAACTCCAAAAAGGTGCAGATTGAGAGGGATTCGTCTATCTAACAAAAGACGAGTTTTACTTTACGTTTTTTGTCAGGTAGTTTATCCATTTAAGAGTAAAGTACAAGTTGTACCAGAGGCATAGCCAGGATTTTTGGTCAGAGGTGGCCGGCAAAAGCCCAGGTGGGGCCAAGCCGCCAGTGACTCGAGACGCAAAGTTCGCGCAAGAAAAAAAATTGTGGACCACACAACATTTTATATCTCCCCTCTCCCCCCCCCCCGTCGACAACTTTTTCGGTAAAAATTTTTTCTGGACAATAACATTACAATTGCTTTCGTAGCACTTTTCCCGATTTCCGTATCACTTTTTCCGATGCTTCACCACGAAGATTCCGACAACAGTAGAGAGTTTGAGCAAGAGAACGAAGTCGGACGAAGATGACGTGGACCGTGGTTGACAATTTTTTCCTGTCTTGCACATTATCTTACGCATTCTGAGTTTAGGGTCAGGCGTGAAGACAGATTAGAGATTTATGTCTAGCTGTTTATGAATGCTGACCCAAATCCTTACGCTGATGCCGGTTTACACGACAAGCGTTTTTGGCACGCAACCCCTGAAAATGGGCACCGTGCCAAAACTCCCACTTCGCTATTTACTCGTTTACACGACAACTTTTTGTAGGCACACTTTTATGATAAGCACCGTGCCCATCGGAAAACGGCACCTCTACTTTCCGTTTACGACGGTATATTTTAAAGAATAAAGATGTCGGACAGAAATAGAATTATATATTTATATTTATTGGAACGAAGAAGAGTATTATATGAGCCGAATATCGAGAAAAACTAAACAATTCAATACTAGAAAAGTACTTTAAGGGCCTGTTCATATGAGAAAAAGTTATCCTGGTTAGCGAGGAAACTTTTCGACAAGTTCACAAGTGAGATCTCGCCTTGGTATGAAAATAATACGAAAAGTTACACTGCGTTCATATATAAGACAAAACGTTTTCCCGTGTAACCGAGATCTCGCTTGTTGACAAGTCAGATCTCTGTGACCGGGATAATGTTTTCCCATATGAACACAACTTTCCCGCTTAGCAGGATAACTTTCTGTCAGTCGTGTCAGCAACTTTTCAATTCAATTGACGTTCAGTGCTACGTCACAGCCGGAAACTTTACCCGGTAAGCGGGATAACGTTTCTCCATGTGAACAGAACAAAAGTATTTGGCTAGTCGAAACGTTTTCTCGTTAACCGGGATAAGTTTTGCCCGTATGAACAGGCCCTTAAAGACGAAAGGAGTTGTTTTTTCGCGTAAATGTTGTGCTATCTTGTATTCACCCGCCACGAATTCGAGAGATATGGACGCATCGAAGGACAGCCATTTGCTACGACCTAGTTAGTAGTTACTGCTCTACTATTCAGCGACGAACAGTGGTACCAAAATTTCCGAGTAACTAGAGCAACATTCACATTCTGTATTATTTAAATTTGTTTTTAACTTTATGTTTTACTTTTTGGGAAGTTGTCGTTTTTCGCCGCTTGCTGCCATGTTGGAAAGAGGACAATTGGTTTTGCGCATGCTCGATGTCCAACACATTTTTTATTTTTTTTTCTAAATTTGGGCACGGCACCGCTTGCTAGACGTGCCGAGACTACCTCGTGAGAAAGTCTCGGGCGTTTAAATTTTGCGGCACTGGTGCCGATTTTTGTCACGTTTACACGCCAAAAGGCAGAGGTGCCGTGCCTAAAAATGGGTACCCGTGCACCCCTAAAAATGGGTACACGTGCCCAAAACACTGGTCGTGTAAACCGGCCTCATATCTCGTCTTCGTTCTTCTGCCTTCGTTCACAACGCAAATATTTTGGCAAAATTCGTTGTAAACTTCGTTCCGAACGAAGGCAGAAGGACAAAGACGGGATATAGTTTCATGTCTCGCTATTTTTTTCTGGGTCAGGGCAAGAATTAGGGTCAGTATGCATTAACAGCGACACATGGGAAAGCACGTTGAGCAACCACCAGTGACGTCCAACACAGTATGCGCAAGATAATGTACAGACGGCAAAAATTGGCAAGTACGCCTTCGTCTTCGTTGTCTTGCTCAAACTCTCTATTGACAATTTTTCGACGGGTCTCAATTTTCCGACGGGTCTCCCCCCCCCCCTCCAGCCACGGCGCCACTGCCGAACCCGCATTAAAAATTCACTTGTAAATTTCATCTAACCCTCATTTAATACATATTGAAATAATTAGGGTTAGAAAACGTAATGTGTTTCAAGCTGTGTGCCACAAATAAGCGAACAAGATTTTAGGTTTCACACCGATGCCCAGCAAAGCATATATTCTACAGAATTTTTGCATTATTGACAGCATGAAGCTATATAATCAAGGATTCCCTTTTTTATACAATACATTTTTTATACAATACATTTTCAGGGCCCCCCACCCAAAAATTTTGGCTAGGGGGGATTTTGCCAGGGGGGGGGGACTACGCCTCTGAGTTGTACTTGAAAATAAAGTATGTATTTAGAATCATATATGAGTCGAGTGCTCGATATACCGAAGTATAGAGCTAATATAGATAAAGATAAAATAAATCTGGTTTACTTCATAAGATTTATTCACTACAAACTTGTTTCGTATAACAAGCAATGCTTGCCACACTCATCAGGTGAATTTAAATGATGGTAATCCATAATTTTAATGACATTTAAATTCACCTGATGAGTGTGGCAAGCATTGCTTGTCATACGAAACAAGTTTGTAGTGAATAAATCTTATGAAGTAAACCAGGGTTTATTTTATCTTTATCTATATATATATATATATATATATATATATATATATATATATATATATATATATATATATATATATATATATATATATATATATATATATATATAGAATAAAGTTCAATATTTTGAATATTAAAAATAATGTAAACAAAGGCTTAAATTGTTTGTTTACATACGAACTGTAGCCTACCTTTAATGAGATGAGATTTATAAATCAGTCAAATTCATGACCAGTCTAATCGTTTGCTGTTTAAGTACTATTTAAAACACGAGTAGGAGTGTTTTATCAGATACAAAACGCGAGGCGCATTATAAAACACGACTACAAAAGAATACAAGGTTGGAGAATATTTTAGAAAGAAATGATGAAAATTAAAAGA